GTCCTTTCTTTCATATTTCTGATGAGATTCTGGCCAAGGAGAAGTCATGGGATGGAACCTCTGGCAGAGCTTCCCGGAAGGTTAAATGTGTGTAACATTCCTTTTCACTTTAACTTTTGCTCCTTTACCCACTTCTTCCAAACTGGGACACAGACTCCATGCCTGGATGCGCAGCAGCCACATTGCAACCATGAGGATAAAAGTCCCACTTCTGAATTCCTAATGACATGGGTGACTGCCCACTTTTGAAATTATTTCACGAGAAAAATAAGCTTTTAGATTATTTAAGCCAGTATTACTGATTGTTCTGTTTGTTCTGTTCACTCGAGTCAAACACATTTGTAACTTACAAGTTACAAATTCCAGGTCCTCCTGAGACCCAGCTGCATTTCTGCCCTTGGATTCTGTGAGATACCCTTGTGTCTTAATAATTGCCCAGCTTGAGTAGGTTTCCATTGTCGGCAACTAAGCAATCCCTTGCCGAGACAAGGATGCTAGAGTTAAGGTACAAAGGAATAGTTTTGCAAGGCTGATGTTCTCTCTCACTGATGACAAGACCAGGAACCCTTTTTTCAGTAGCAGAAGGGGTTAAGGTTTTGAACAACTTTCATTCTTAGAAATTGTTTGAGCAGAGTAGGCAGCTGCCTTGAGGGGTTTGGTTAGCTAGGTATGGCCCTCCCTGTAGGCAAGGGCACCAAAGAGTTAACCTGGGATGTGTGAGATGCAGTGCCTTTGTGTGCTCCAACAGGCAGCTCAAGCAAAGAGTTAAAGGCATGCCTTAGCCCTGTGGTCCGCAAACTGCGACTCGCGAACCACATGCGGCTCTTTGGCCCCTTGAGTGTGGCTCTTCCACAAAATACCAACTTCTGCGCACAGGCTTTTAAGTCAACTTCGCACTGTCCGTGCACGCCTGCACGTAGTATTCTGTGAAGAGCCACACTCAAGGGGCCAAAGAGCCGCATGTGGCTCACGAGCCGCGGTTTGCCGACCACTGCCCTAAGTGCGTCCCCCTTGAGAATATGATTAAAGGTATGGCTGCCTCAGGAAAAGTGACACTCAGGTCTGTGTAGAATTCAGACCCTTCAAACTCTCACTGACCCCGAGAGAGAGTTTTTCAAACGACCCTTTCCCAGGGGTCGCCTAAGACCATCCTGCATATCAGATATTTACGTGACGATTCATCACAGAAGCAACATGACAGTGATGAAGTAGCCACGAAAATAACTTTATGGTTGGGTCACAACATGAGGAACTGTATTTAAAGGGCCAGAAGGTTGAGAACCACCGGCCTAGGGAAAACGTTAGGACAAAACTCGGGGGCCAGTCTCTTGGCTAGAACCCCAGGGGGACAGACAGGTTTGTGTGGTTACAGCTGCGGTCCCAACTGCTGTTCCGTACAAAGTTTCCTACCGTCATATAACGGTTCCTGTGTATTTCTCTTAGCAGGCAGGGCCGTGTCTCACGTCTTACAGGCTGGCTGGAGACTCAGAAGATGTGTATGACCGCCAGGGGGCCCTGCCCTTGGGGAACTGGGTCTGCAAGTGCTGTACACATTGAGGCTGATGTGATGTGAGGAATGTCTCCAATCGGATTCGCCTTTGATTTTTGCTCTCAGTTTTTCTTCAGACAGGTTTGTGTGGTTACAGCTGCGGTCCCAACCGCTGTTCCGTACAAAGTTTCCTACCGTCATGTAACGGTTCCTGTGTATTTCTCTTAGCAGACAGGGCCGTGTCTCACGTCTTACAGGCTCGCTGGAGACTCAGAAGATGTGTATGACCACCAGGGGGCCCTGCCCTTGGGGAACTCGGTCTGCAAGGGCTGTACACATTGAGGCTGATGTGAGGAATGTTTCAGCCATTTTTCCTGCCTCCGACATTGCTTTCCTCAAATTCATCCCCTATACCAGGGGTCCTCAAACTTTTTAAACAGGGGGGGCCGGTTCACTGTCCCTCAGACCGTTGGAGGGCCGGACTATATTGTTTAAAAAACTATGGACAAATTCCTATGCACATTGCACATATCTTATTTTGAAGTAAAAAAACAAAACGGGAACAAATACAATATTTGTATTTGCATGTGGCCCGCGGGCTGTAGTTTGAGGACCCCAGCTTTTCTTCGCTGTATTATTTATCCCTTAACACTCTGCAGACAGGGGGGACTTTTAGGAGAAGAGAAAGATGGCCACTCTATCGCCCATGAACTCCCACCCCCCGCAGACACTAATAGCCAGTCATCTGGTGTTTACTTGGGGCACATTCCCCGTTTACGGCTGAGCCCCGATTCAGCTTCAGAATCCTTAACGTTATGCTCTTGGCAGCTACACCAACCGACGGCGGGGGCACCTGCATTGAAACCTACAAGTCATTTTTGCTCGGGTTGGAAAAGCTTCCCAGGTCTGGTGGAGGGGTCCGGAGGGAGGGGAGGGGCGCGGGGAGGGAGCTGGGCTCCTGGCCTGGCAGCCTGTTGCTCCCCCCTCACTGTCATGTCCACTGTGAGAACTCCAAGGCCACCATTATGAGGAGAGGAAGCTCATAATGTATGCAGTTGGCTGATTTGGGGTGGAAACCACAGGCCGGCCCTAGATGGTTTGGCTCAGTGGATGGAGCATCGGCCTGCGTGCGGACTGAAGGATCCGGGGGTTCGATTCCAGTCAAGGGCACATGCCCAGCTTGTGGGCTCGATCCCCAGTGGGGGGACGCGCAGGAGGCAGCCGATCAATGATTCTCATCATTGATGCTTCTCTCTCTCCCTCTCCCTTCCTCTCTATGAAATCAATAAAAATAAATAAAATTTTCTCAAACGTAAGTCAGGTTTTACTATTTAAAAGACAATTAAATTCTGCCCTGGCTGATGTGGTTCAATGGTTAGAGTGCCATCCCATGCACTGAAGGGTCTCGTGTTGGATTCCTGGTCAGGGCCCAGAGGCAGGCTGCGGGTTCAATCCCCCTTTTGGGGCACATGCAGGCGGCAACCGACAGATGTTTCTCTCTCCCTTCCTCTCTCTCTCGAAAATCAATGAAAAACAACCCCAAACTATATTCTTGGGTGAGGATTTTTTTTTTTTTAAAGGCAACTAATTTAAATTATGTGTACTAGTATTTCCCTGAATATGTAACTATAAAACTAAGGGTCCTTCAATGAAAAACAACCCCAAACTATATTCTTGGATGAGGATTTTTTTTTTTTAAAGGCAGCTAATTTAAATTATGTATACTAGTATTTTCCTGAATACATAACTATAAAACTAAGGTTCCAGCTGGTGTGGGTCAGTGGACAGAGTGAAGGCCTGTGGACTGAAGGGTCCCGGGGTTCGATTCCGGTCAACGGCGCATCCCCAGTGTGGGGCGTGCAGGAGGCAGCCGGTTAATGATTCTCTCTCATCATTGATGTTTCTCTCTCTCTCCCGCTCTCCCTTCCTCTCTGAAATCAATAGAAATATATATTAAAAATAAATAACTGTTGCCGAAGCCGGTTTGGCTCAGTGGATGGAGCGTCGGCTTGCTGCCTGGGGGAGGGGGGTCCCAGGTTCGATTCCGGTCAACGGCGCATCCCCAGTGTGCGGCGTGCAGGAGGCAGCCGGTTAATGATTCTCTCTCATCATTGATGTTTCTCTCTCTCTCCCGCTCTCCCTTCCTCTCTGAAATCAATAGAAATATATATTAAAAATAAATAACTGTTGCCGAAGCCGGTTTGGCTCAGTGGATGGAGCGTCGGCTTGCTGCCTGGGGGAGGGGGGTCCCAGGTTCGATTCCGGTCAACGGCGCATCCCCAGTGTGCGGCGTGCAGGAGGCAGCCGGTTAATGATTCTCTCTCATCATTGATGTTTCTCTCTCTCTCCCGCTCTCCCTTCCTCTCTGAAATCAATAGAAATATATATTAAAAATAAATAACTGTTCATCTGTGAACCAACTCTACTACGGCCTCAAGGAAGGGACAGGAGAGCGCGGAGTCAGGGGGGAGGCAGAGGGAGACGCGGGGGGGTTGGGGGCGGCCTACCTTGTGGGTGAGCGAGTGCTGCTTGAGGTGGTGGACCTGGCTGAACTCCATGCCGCACTCGGTGCACACGAAGGGCCGCACGTTCTGGTGCTTGAGCATGTGGTTCTGCAGCTGGCTGCGGTAGTGGAAGGACTTGTCGCACTCGAGGCACTGGTAGAGGGTAGGGCCCTGGTGGGAGGCCAGGTGGCGCTTGAGCTGCGTCAGCGTGGAGAAGTCCAGGCCGCACTCCACGCACACGTGGCAGCGGCCGCTCTCGTGTTTGACCTCGTGGGCCTTGAGCTCGCTGGGGTAGGCGAAGCCGCGGCCGCAGAAGTGGCAGCTGTAGGGCTTGACCTCGGAGTGCAGCAGCATGTGGCGCTTGAGGTGGCTGGTCTGCGTGAAGGCCTTGTGGCACACCTGGCACTTGTGGGGCCGCGTGCCCTGGTGCGTGAGCAGGTGCGTCTGCAGGTGGCTGGGCTGCTTGAAGAGCTTGCTGCAGTGCGGGCACGAGTGGGGCTTGATGCCGTTGTGGCCCAGGATGTGCGTCACCAGGTTGTACTTGGACGTGTAGGACTTCTCGCACATGCGGCACTGCCAGCGCTTCTGCCGGTCGCCCGCCTCCACCAGGTA